AAGAAGTGACTGGACAGCCACCTGTCCTGAAATGGTATAGGTCAGTGATGGCTAACCTTTTTGGCCACCGCGTGCCAAAAGCTGAGGGAATGCAGGGTAATCATGCACATGCGTGCCCACACTCATAAATTCTATGTGCCCTGCCCCCCCACGCATGTGCATGCGATCTCCCCCATGCTCCCCCCACTTTTGGCATGTGATGACACAGTAGGAGGCCTGTTTTTTTGCCCTCCCCAGGCTCCAGAGGCTTTCTAGGGCGCCTGGGGAGGGCAAAAACAGCCTTCCCAACCCCACCGGAGGCCCTCTGGAGGCCGGAAACAGTCCGTTTGCCAACTTCTGGTGGGCCCAGAAGGCCCAAAAATCAGCTGGCCAGCACGCACATGCGTACTGGAGCTGAGGTAGGACAACGCTCACATGCCCAACAATATGGCTCCACGTGCCACCTGTGACACGCGTGCCATAGGTTCTCCATCACGGGTATAGGTTCTCCTGCTGGAGAAGGAAGTTGGACTAGAAGGCCTCCAAGGTCCTTTCCAGCAGTTCTGATCCTCATCCTGATCCTTTATTACAGGGCTCTCCAAACATGGCAACTTTAAGACTTATGGACTCCAACTCCCAGAATTCCCAGGCTAGCCATGAATTCTGGGAGTTGAAGTCCACAAGTCTTAAAGTTACCAACTTTGGAGGCTCCTGCTTTATTCAGACAAAGTTTCTGCTCAAATCCAGAGGACTGTCAGCGTTGCAACGCTGGCATAGAGAGAGAGCAGAGGAGAGCGAAAGATAAACTCTGAAACTTTTGCCTGATAAATCCCTTTGAAGCCCGTTGTCGTGGAAATGAGGGAGGGGGCACATTCCTGGGAAATGATGAGGAAAAGAAGTCTGAAGAATGACTTGGAAGACAGCCAATGAGAAGCAGAGACTTGGGGATCGGAAAGGGAGGGATTGGGAGGCAAAAGGTCAGTCTTCTCCGTGCGGAGTCATGATCTGGTGGCTGAGCAAAATTAAAGAAAGATTTCCTTAAAGATTGGCAGTTTGGAAATTCATTTAATTTTGAGATAGCACCGCAGTCTGACAAGGACATTTTTTTTTTCTAAATGCCAGAGGTCGGCAATCTTTCAGCCCCATTTTTCATGCCAACAGTGAGGATCTAACAGCGTTTCTCAACTTGGGCAGCTTGAAGATAAGTGAACTTCAACTCCCAGAATTCCCCGGCCAGCCATAGTTAATTTCTATGAACCTAATATGTATAGATCTGGGTTATATAGTTCGGAATCATTACAGCTCTTTTTACCTTATAGTTCAAAATTGACCTTATCCTCTACCACTTATGTAAATTGGTTATTATGAAATGTTTGTGGAAATGAAAAGCAGACGGAGGAGGAGGAGGAGGTCAAATGGAGGAGGAGAGGAGGAGGAAGAAAGAAAGAGGAGGACAAGTGGAGGAGGAGGAAGAGGAAGAAAGGAGGAGGGAAGGAGAGGAGGAGGAAAGAAGGGACGAGGAGGAGGACAAATGGAGGGGAGGAGGGGGAGGAGAGGAAAGAGAGAAAGAAGAAAGGAGGAGGAGGAAGAGGGGATGGAAGGAGAGAAGGAGGAAAAAAGGAGGAGGAGGAGGGAAGGAGAGAAGGGAAAAGAGGGGAAAAGGAAGAAAGGAGGACAAGGAAGAAGAAAGAAGAGGAGGAGGACAAATGAAGAAGGGGAGAGAAGGAGAGGAAGAGAAGGAGGAGAGGAGGAAGAGGAGGAGGAAAGGAGGAGGAGGGAGAAGGGAAGAAGAAGAGGATGAGGAGGGCGATGAGGAGGGGGCGAGGAAGAGGTGAGGTACTTTGTTCTCTGAGCTTCTTTTCAGCCCCCAGACGTTTTTCATTATCCAACCCAGGTAAGATCCTCAGTGCTAGAAGGGAAGGGGGGTTGCAGAGAGGAGGAGGAGGAGGGGGGGGCATTTTGAAATATCAACCATTGAGCACAAATGTATATATATATCTATATATACATTTCTGTATCTATATCTGCTGTGTGGCAGATAGACTGTATAACCTGACAAGTGAAGATGTGAGATCTACCAGACCTTCTGCGACATGTCCACCAACGGAGGCGGCTGGACGCTGGTGGCCAGTGTCCATGAAAACAACATCTTTGGGAAATGCACCGTTGGCGATCGCTGGTCCAGCCAGCAAGGCAACAATCCCAACTACTACCGCTACGGAGATGGAAACTGGGCCAACAACAACACCTTTGGATCCGCCATAGCAGCCACAGCGATGACTGCTACAAGGTAGGAGGAATTCATTTCAGGGGAGAGGAAAGCAAAGCAAACTTTTTTAGCCACAGGCCAAACTCAGTCTCAAAGAGATGGTAGCAATAGGCAGCGTTGGGAATAGTGTCTAATACTTGGTGCAAAAAACAGCAGATGTTGTCCATCCAGTGTCATTGATGTAGACCTCAACATCTGTGGTCCCCTTGAACCTAAATGTGGTATGTCCGAAGATGACCGGAGAGCCAGTTTGGGCACAGAATGTCCTGACTTGTGTTGAACCCAACATGATTCTGTAGGGCACACATGGCTGTGGACTTCTAGTCCAACCCCTGCTCAAGCAGCAGATCCTATGCCATTCCAGACATTCTCTTCTTGGACACCTCCAGTGATGAAGCACCCACAACTTCTGGTGGTAAGCAGTTCCACTGGTTAATTGTTCTCACTGTCAGGAAATTTCTCCTTAGTTCTAGGTTGCTTCTCTCCTTGATCAGGTCCCATCGGTTGCTTCTTGTCCTGCCCTCAGGTGCTTTGGAGAACAGCTGGAAACCCCACACACACCCACACTTATCTGTGACAGCCCAGTATTTTGCTCCTTCTTCAAGAGGTCCTTCTAGTCAATGGGGGAGGGGAAAAGGTCACCCCTCTGGAGTGTTGCTAAAGTCAACCCTCTCACCCGTAATCTTTACGTCCATGAAGAAAAGCAGATGAAGGGGACAGGTGACAGTCCTTCTCCAGGTGTTGTGTCATATCTACATCTATATCTAGATATCTATATCTAATGTGTCTTTCTACAGAGTCTCAGCCTTCAGAGCTCCTCAAAGGGTCTTAGAAAGGGACTCTTGAAGCTCCCTCCAGTGTCATCAACCGTCTCTCTCTCTTTTCCAGAACCCAGGCTACTATGCTCTTAGAGCCCAAGATATCTCCATATGGCATGTTCCCAACAACACCCCAATGAAGAAATGGCGGGACGTTTCCTTCTTGAGATACCACACCGAGACACGCTTCTTGTCTGACCTAGGGGTAACCTTCTCCGGCTCTATGAGGTGAGCCCAACCGACCTGACTTTTCTGCCTGTTGACTCACCAAATATGACTGCGTCCGTCTCTTGGACCTGATCTGGCTGATCCTAAAATGCTAAATATGCATTGGCTGGTTGGTTGGTTGATTGATTGATTGATTGATCGATCGATTGATTGAATTCGTAGCAACTTTAGGCTTTGGTGGTTGGTTGAGAGACCATCAGAATCCCAGAACTGTGTCTTAGAACTAGGACATCTCAAAAGAGGATCAAAGCCGACTATCTCCATCTTGACATTCAGAAAACCTCTAGCTGGACCTTCACTTGGTCGTCGTAGTCCAAGAAGTCACCATGAATTAAGCTCAGTTTTGATGACTGCACCTCGGTTCATCTCAGAGTCTTACAGCCAGGTTGAAAAGGACACCATAAAATGTCTTCATCTTCTGCCTGCTTTGCTAATGGACTGGTCATACATGGAAATAATCCAGCTGTGATTTGTTTTCCAGAGATACCCGGTGAAATATGATGGTGGTAGCTGTCCAAATGATAACGGCCCAGCTATCCCTATTGTTTATGATGTTGGTGATGCCCAGAAGACTTCAGAATTGTACTCTCCCCATGGACGGAGTAAGCATCCTTGCCTCGGTTAGAGGGCTGCCCCCACAATACAGGGAGGTTGAACCACCTGTGGCTCCTAGGCTGGGACATCCTCTTTTGAAGCTAAAATCCAGGAGGAAGGTAAAGGAAGGAGCTCCTTTCCAAAATTGGTGCCCCAGTTGAGATGGTTTAGAAAGCAGATCGAGCAGGTTGGGCTAATGACGTATTTTCTTATCTTGGAGGGACATTTTGTAGCCCTCCCAAAATCCAGCTGCTAGGAAAAAGCAATAGGAATGGGAAGAGTTCCGTACAGTATTATGCAAACGTGGCCACTTTTAGGTGGGTGGACTTCAACCCCCAGAATTCCCCGGCCTGCTTGCTTGAAGATGGGTGGACTCCAGCTCACCAACATGCTGTGGGGAATGCTGGGAGTTGAAGTCCCAGATTGTCAACTGTCATCAACCAAGATTGTGAAAATAATTATGATCCTCATAATTATTTAATATCTCAACCACATTTAATATCTCTCTTCTGTTTCTCAGCTGAATTTGTCCCTGGCTTCGTTCAGTTCCGGGTGTTTAATAATGAAAAGGCAGCGTTGGCTCTCTGCTCTGGCATTAAACTCACCAGGTGCAACTCAGAACATGTGAGTATATGCCAGCCTTCCCGAAAAACACATCCTGCTTGAGTATCCAAATAGAAGTCCAGGATCATTTCATTTCTGAAAACCTTTCTGTTTCTTGAATACGTGGCATGGTAATGGCGAAGTAAAACTCGCTCTGCAATTCCAAGGCATCAGAACATAATATTTAACAATGATTTTCCCAGCCGAACCCCCAGACTTCCACTTAGCTCACGTAAACAAGTTTTCTTTTTCTTTCTTATGGGAACCATCTGCCTTCTTCTTCACACCTGCTAAAATGTCCTTGAAAAGCTCTCAGACTCCCCTCACCAGCTTCACTGGAACTGGAGAAGTTTCGTTTCTCTAACTAACCCATTCGTAATCAATACCTCCCCACCACCCACCTTACTCTAAAGGCAAGATGAAACAAAAAGGCACATAGCTGCCACGTTTTTCACTCTTGACACACTGCTTGACACACATGCAAACCAGGGACTTACATACATCCTTTTGAGCTGTGCTTTTCATTCCAAGAATTCCGAATTTCTAGAATGCTGGATTTGTGTGTGTGTGAGAGAGAGAGAGATAGTTTTGTACCCTGTCATCCATGCACACACTGTGGCATTTCAGAACATAGAACATAGAATCCTCAGCTTGGAAGGAACCTCGGAGGTCCTCTAGTCCAACCCACTGCTCGAGCAGGAGAATCTATACTGTTTCAGACAAATGGCTGTCCAGTCTCGTCCAGAAAACCTTCAGTTTTTGGAGGCTTCTGGAGGCACTGATTAATTGTTGTCACTGTCAGGAAATAGACAAGATGCTTAACTCCCTTTCTTCCTCCCTTAGCACTGCATTGGAGGGGGGGGCTTTTTCGCTGAAGGAAACCCCCGTCAATGTGGTGATTTTGCCAGCTTTGACTGGGACGGCTACGGGACTCACCGCGGGAGCACTTCACAAACCATCGTGGATGCGGCCGTGCTGATCTTCTACCGCTGAGTCAGCAGCCGAATCAGAATCCGGAGATGGAGGTGCCTGTCCCGGAGCAGAAAAAATTATGATTTAAACACACAATCTGACAACGCTTTGCAACAAAAACAAAAGCAGAACATTAAAATTTGGCCTCTGTTTTGTCTTTCTTTTTTCAAAGTAATCCTTGCCATTAAAGTTTACAAACGTAAAGGTAAGGAAACAAGAAAAAACAAGAAAAATATAAAAAGAAAAAAAAATGCAAAATGTAGAAATCAAGGGAATGGAGATAAGAGAGGAAAGATATAAACTACAAGCATTTGCAGACGATTTGGTATTTATTGTAGAAGAACCACTAGAGACAATTCCAAAATTGTTAAAAGAGAGAGAAGAGTTTGGAGAGGTAGTAGGACTGAAAATAAATAGAGGGAAAAACTAAAGTTATAGTTACACAAAAACAAAAAGAAAATCTGGCAGAAAAAGTGGATTTTCAAATGGTCAAGAAAGTTAAATATTTGGGATACTTAACAGCAAGGTATGCAATGCTAAAAGAAGACAATTATATAAAGGTACTTAAGCAAATAAAATTAGTTTTAGAAAAATGGAAAATCAATATCAGGAAGGATTGCTACAATAAAAACAAATATCCTATCAAAACTGCTCTTCCTGTTCCAAACTGTACCTATAGAAATTGAAATTCTTTGATGATCTGAACAAATTGATGCTGAAATTTATTTGGCAAGGGAAAAAAAGGAGAATATGATTGAAAAAGCCACAAGAATCTAAAGAAAATAGAGGATTTGGACTACCAGATTGGTCTCTATATTATCAAGCATTTACAAGACTGTTATATTTAAAAGGTCTTTCTCTTTCCGAAATAATCCTTGACATTAAAGTTTACAAATGCAAAAGTAAGGAAACAATACAAAGCACGAAAAATATAAAAGAAAAAAAAATCCAGAGGCAAAGGAAAATAGAAAAGAGATATATAAAGAAATGATATCGTCAAAATCAGCAGAAGTGATAGTGCCGCTGTCTTAAAAATTTCTATAATCACACAATTAAAAAACTAATATCAAAACAGCAAAAGAAACAAAGAATGTATTTTCTACCGTCTATGAAGTCAGTCAGTTCTGATTAACATTTTTATTAAATGAGCTGCATCAGAAAGCCAGAAAAATCAAGAAATACATATTTTCTTTTACAGATTTTTCTCCCTTCACCCCCTTTATTCTTTGTTCCTTTTAAAAAAAAAACATTTTCTTAGTTTGCATTATTTTGCTATCTTTGTATTTTTAAAGTTCAATAAAAATATTACCATTTAAAAATAAAGTCAGAAAAATATATTTCAAGGAAAACAAAACTGCCTTCCTTGGTGGGCTGGGATGGATCCTTATTTTAAAAATAATAAAGGTGGGATATAAATAAAAAGATAAATAAATTAGGCATTCTAGCTTATAAAGATCAGTCCTAAATCTGCAAAGAAACAAGATTAATTTTCTGTAAGTGTTCAAGTCAGAATGCCAGGGTGAAATACTAACGATCGCCACAAGGAAGCAGTATTCATCCATAAAACTGGTCATATCCCACAGAATAAAATATTTGTCATTCAGATAGTAAAGATTATTTGCTTAGTGTGTCATCCTATGTCTCAGCAACTGTAGGATTTAGGGAGAAAACACTCATAATTCTGTGTGACTGATTGTTGTGCTGAACTTTGATGAGAAGATCGGTGGCCTAATCAAACAGATGGGTCCATGTAAAGACGACCAAGAGCATTTTCTAAAATGCAAAAGTGAAATTGAAACAAAAAATGTCTGGCTTCAGAATTAAGAAGGACTTTAGATGTACAACTTTTGTGAGATAAGTCATCATATCTACGATTTAAATACCTACATTATTGGTTTTCAACCTTGTCAGCTTCCAAATGGCTTGGCGTTCAATTCCCAGAATTCCCCAGCCAACCGAGGGAATTCTGGGAGTTGAAATCCACCCATCTATTTTAGAATAGAATAGAGCTGGAAGGGACCTTGGAGGTCTTCTAGTCCAGCCCCCTGCTCAAACAGGATATCCTATACCATTTGACAAAAGTGACTGTCCAGTCTCTTCTTAAAAATCTCCGGTGATGGAGCGCCCACGATTTCTGGTGGCAAGCTGTTCCACTGGTTAATTGTCCACACTGTTAGGAAGTTCTCCCTTAATTCCAGATTGCTTCTTTTCTTGATTAGTTTCCAACCATTGTTTCTTGTCTTGCCTTCTGATGCTCTGGAGAATAATTTGAATAATCTTCTTTGTGGCAGCCCCTCAAATCCTGGCATACTGGAAGACTGCTATCATGTCACCCCTAATTCTTCTTTTCTTTAGACTAGCCAGACCCAAATCCTGCAACCGTTCTTCGTATGTTTTAGTCTCCAGGCCTTTAATCATCTTAGTTGCTCTTCTCTGCATTTTTTCCAAAGTCTCAACCTCTTTTTTGTAGTGTGTAGTATGTTTTTTCTTTTAAAAGCCTCTGATGAGTTGCCTGATCAGCAGAGACTTTTTTTCTTTTAAAAGCCTCTGATGATCCCAGCTGAGTTGCCTGATCGTCAGAGGCTTTTAAAAGAAAAAAAGCCTCTGCCAATCAGGCAATTCAGCTGGGATCGTCAGAGGCTTTTAAAAGCATTTTTTAACAACATCTTCGCCGAAGAGGTTGTAGAAAAAATGGTATTAAAAGTTAAAAAAAAAAAAGTTGGCCACACCCACCCAGTCACATTAACCCCCACCACCATTAAGCCACGCCCACAGAACTGGTAGTAACAAATTTTAGATTTCATTCCTGACTCACAGTTCCTGTTTTTGAGCCAGGTCTCACCTAATCTGTACTTCTACCTTTGATTTTTCTTGCCTAAGTTTAAAACTTGGCTTTTATCCACATTTAAAATTCGTTTTGTTGCGTCGGGCGCCATTGTCCAAGTTTGTCAAGATCTAATCCAGACGGAAGATTTATTATCCATGCCATCATGGGATAAAAATAAAGGCCTCCCGTGACATCCTTTGAGTAAACTTGAAAAACAGACTCTAAATTTAACTAAGCAATACATTCGTTGGGGGGTTTTATCTGGCTAAACTGTGATAAGTTTGTTTGGTTCCGGCGTTGATGCAGTCCGTAGGCATTCGAAACAACTGCGATCACATCAGGAGTAAAATGATATCGTGACTCAAACATCAGCCTCAAATACTCTCATTCCATTGGCGTGGTGTGTGAGTGAAAAGTCCCAGGTTGTGAGTCATGATAGTAGAGTGAGGTGTGTTTTCTCGCTTAGGTTTGCCACCTCCACGAACATCTAAGGCAGTGCTTCTCAACCTTGGCCCCTGGACAATGTGTGGACTTCAACTCCCAGAATTCCCCAGCCAGCAAAGCTGGGAGCCAGAATTCTGGGAGTTGAAGTCCACACATCGTCCAGCAGCCAAGGTTGAGAAACACTGATCTAAGGGGTGAACAGTCAGCTATTCTGTCTCATAGCATCATAATGCTGGGAAGGACCTTGGAGATCTTCTAGTCAATCCCGTTCTGGCAGAAGACCCTATACCCATGATGGCGAACCTATGGCACGCGTGCCACAGGTGGCACGTGCATCCATATCGGTGGGCACGCGAGTATTGCCCTAACTCAGCTGATTTTTGGGCCTTCTGGGCCCACTGGAAGTTGGCAAATGGCCCGTTCCCAGCCTCCAGAAGGCCTCTGGGGGGACGGGGAAGGCTGTTTTTACCCTCCCTAGGCTCCAAGAAAGTCTCTGGAGCCTGGAGATGGCGAAAAACGGGCCTACTGGCCCACCACGCCATCGCGTGGCAAAAGCGGGGAGAGCACACTGAATTAAGGGTGTGGGCATGCGTTGGCGCAACCCCCCCGCTCTCCCCCACTTTTGGCACACGACGGCCAAAAGGTTAGCCATCATTGCCCTATACCACCCGGGTCAAATGGTTGTCCAGTTTCTTTTTAGAAATTTCCAGTGTTAGAGCACTCATAACTTCTGGAGGGAAGCCATTCCACTGATTAATTGTCCTCACTATCAGGAAATTCCTCCTTATTTCTAGGTAGGTTCTCTCCTTGGTTAGTTTCCATCCGTTGCTTCTTGTCCAGTCACTTTTTTTCAGGGTCGTTGGAACTTCAGTCACTAAATGAAGAGTTGTAAGTCTAGGACTACCTGTATAGAATAGAATAGAATAGATTATAGCCTAGGGCAGAATAGAATAATAAAGTTGGAAGGGACCTTGGAGGTCTTCTAGTCCCACAAAACTCCCCCACTGAAAAAATCTGGACACCGATGTTCTCTAGAAGATGCCCTCTTGACGTCCATTCTGGGTATCTAAGCATCCCTGTACAGAAGAACCCCCCCCGACCCCCCTCCAGGTTATTGGGCAAGACTGGTGACCGCATTGAGTTCAGGGTGCCAAAGGTTAGATGTCCTCTGGCCAAAAAAACTCTTGAGGACCTGCTATGCCTGGAATCTGTTTCGGATTACAAGCCAGGCTTGGCTACGGGCCCTGCATTTTTCTCAAGTATTTACAGAATGCATGACTTGCTTAAGGGAAAGAGTGGTGGGTTAGTCCCTTAAAATCAGTTTAAGGCTGTTCTAGATGAAATGGGGCAGGGGGAATAAACATTTAAGTGTATTAAAGTTTATTAATAAGCAGAGGTCTCCAAATGTGGCCACTTTAAGGAATTGTGGACTTCAACTTCCCAGAATTCCCTCAATTGCAGACCCATTGCAGACCCCTGCCCTAAATGCCATTTCAATGCAGTGCGGGGTGGGGGTGGGCTTAATTTGCAGGGAAGTGAAACAAAGACAAAGAAAGCGAAGGAGGAGAAAACAGGCAGGAAAAATTAAAATGTCTCTGTTTCTTAGAAGCTTCCTGCTATTTGTACAGCCCCATTTTAAAATGCTTTCTGAGCTGAGGTTGTGTTTCCTTTTGGTTTCATACTAGGTTAGTGAGCTGATGAAAACTATTATTTGATACATAATAATTTCATAATTTTATGGTGTCTTTAAAACACAAACTCACAGAAAGGAAAAAGGAAGGAAGAGGGAAGGAAGGGAGGAAAGAAAGAAAGAAAGAAAGAAAGAAAGAAAGAAAGAAGAAAGAAAGAAAGAAAGAAAGAAAGAAA